AGAGTATTCTTTGGCCCCCCTTGTGTCGAATCAATAAATTTGGGTTGAATACTCTACCCTCGAAAACTGTTGCGATCCCCTATACTTGTGGGTTATCATAGAGCACCTTTATAATCACCCAGTTACGTTGTGGCGTTTGGTAGCACACAAAGCGTTCCTCCAGTAAACGGGAGTTGCACAATCTCATAGTCATAGGAACATGTATAAGTCATGAAGAAAGCAATAGCAACATACTAAACGATCAAGTGCTAAGCTAACGGAATGGGTCAAGTCAATCACATCATTCTCTAATGATGTGCTCCCGTTAATCAAATGACAACTCATGTCTATGGCTAGGAAACTTAACCATCTTTGCTTCAACAAGCTTGTCAAGTAGAGGCATACTAGTGACATTCTGTTTGTCTATGTATTCACACATGTATCAAGTTTCCGGTTAATACAATTCTAGCATGAATAATAAACATTTATCATTAAATAAGGAAATAAATAATAAATTTATTATTGCCTCTAGGGCATATTTCCTTCACTCGAAGCCATTCTGCTTCGACGCATGATGTGTCTAATGTTGTGAGTTCTGCTTCCATAGTCGATCTGGTTAAGATCGTCTGCTTGCAAGACTTTCAGGAAACAGCACCACCACCAAGTGTAAAGATATATCCACTTGTGGCTTTCATCTCATCAGCATCAGATATCCAATTAGAATCACAATACCCTTCAAGTACCGTTAGGTACCCAGAATAGTGAATACCATAGTTTGCATTACCTTGCAAGTAACGCATCACTCGCTCAACAGCATGCCAATGCACATCTCCTAGATTGGAAACAAACTGGCTCAGTTTGCACACACCAAATGAGATGTCAGGACAAGTAGCACAAGCTAGGTACATTAGTGAACCAACCACTTGAGAATATCTCAATTGATCTACAGCCGTGCCTTCGAGGTTTCGAATCCGGACGCTAGGATCATATGGTGTTGTAGAAGGTTTGCAGTCCGAATATCCAAAACGGCTCAAAATCTTCTCAACATAGTGGGATTGCAAAAGTGTAATTTCACCCTCAGTATTTCTCAGTAGCTTGATGTTCAAGATAACATCAGACATGCCCAGGTCTTTCATCTCAAAGTTATTACATAGAAAGGCCTTGACCTCCTCAATGACTTTGAGGTGGGTCCCAAATATTAGTATGTCATCAACATACAAACACAATATAACTCCTTTGCCCCCACCATAGCGATAGTATACACATTTGCCAACTCCGTTAACAACAAAGCCAACAGATGTCAGAGTAGTGTTGAACTTCTCATGCCATTGCTTAGACGCTTGTCCATGAGTTATAGAGTGTTTTCAGTTGTTTACACAGAATAGAAGGGGAAAAGGAAGAAAAGAATGGCCCACCGGCCAAAGGCAACAACACTAGTGATTAGGGAAACTCCAATATGGACCATCAAATTGCCCCTAAATATTCGAATCGAGATCAGTCCGAGCATTTTTAGCTGTCCAACGGTGGTTACCAAAATTGTCCGCACCAATTCAGATGTCCAAAATCTCACAAACCAAAACCAAATTGCGGGCGGTTTGAGGGCGTGCATACGTCCATCATGTATGCATCTGGCAATGAGGACCCACCCAAAAACCCTCTCCTACTGCATCCGCTCACCTCCGCCCCGCATTCATCTGGCAATGCGGACCCATCCAATAACCCTCTGCCATCGCATCCGCTCACCTCCACGACACATTCATGTTGGTTCAAATCGGACATGACATGACGTGATGGCTTTCGACTACATTCAGCCCGTTAACCGACCATCTGCCTACCCGACATTCATACCGGTGCGACGAATAAGACGCCAACTCCAAGAGTCCCCCATTAAAGCCGTTGCTCCGCCTCTCCCGCCATGTTCGCTTGCTCTCCACGCTACATTCTTCATGTCGGTTCATAGTGGACGTGACCAAACGGGACGATGAGACCACTTCCTACTGCATTCAAGCCGGTTAATCGGCAGTCCGCCTTCCCGGCATTCATAGCGCGCGGTGAACGAGAAGCCAACTTAGGGCACCCACATTCGAGCCACTGCTCCGCCTGCCTGGGCACCTGTTATTTATAGCCGGATGGTGACGCCACAAAACCTGACCCCTCCATGCCCCATCTCCCTCCATCCAAGTCACCGGCGCACTGCCACTTCCTCCAATTCTCCTTCGTCTACCGCCGTCACAATGGCCAAGACCGGCCATGAGTACTGGAAGAGCCTTGATGTGAAGCCGCCATGAAGTCGCCATGAGCCTGTGTATTTGCCTCCCCTCTGCATGCCGCTCCAGTGACCAGTGGGTGGGGTGGGGGGATCCCAGTGCTTCCGCCCCGGTTAGTAGTTTAGGCTAGGGTTTTAGTCCTTGCAGGTGTGGCGCTTCTATCTGGAGTTTGTTTTCCGTGCTCAGATCCTCCTCGAGTTCGTCCATCTGGACATTATCGATGAAGCTCCGACGTAGATTCGTGTCGTCTCCTTGGGGCGGTGAGGTTATGGTTTATTGTCAAGTGGCGAGATTTGGTGTCAGGTGCTTCAAATCTATTCAAGGTTCAACGATGAAAACTGCGGCTCCAGAGTGCTAGTCCTTAGGGGCACATGCACGAAGACTTTCCGGCTATATAATCGACAAGGTCAAGCTAGCTCCGATAGGGGAGCGCAGTGGCGGTGCCGGGATCAGAAGTCTGTGATGTCATTTCAAATCTGTGATGTCAAATACATGTGTTTTCACTAATTTTATAAAAAACATACATGATTTCTACTTGTGTACAAAGGATTTGCCAAAAACCTGTGTGGTCAATCGACCACACTCCTCTCAACGTGGCTCTGCCACTGGGGGAGTGGCGACAACCGCGTGTCGACGGCTCATTCTGACGGCGGTAGTGATTATTCGGTGGTCTTGGAATCTTAGGCCCTGTTCGGGAATTGTCCAACTCCGTAGAATACGGGAGCCGACGGAGCACCACTTTCGCAACTCCCAGAAAATACACCGCAGGCCGCTCCGCTCCGGCCGCTTCAGGAGCGGAGCTGCGGAGCCGGAGAGCTGCCGAACAGGCTCTTAATATAATTTTTTTTTATTATGTTTGAGATACTTTATACTTTCGATGAACTTTGATAATAGATTTGGATCATTTTTGGAAGAGAAAAAATTCGGTTGCATGGACGTCCATAGCTCCCACAACTCAGGGTGCTCGGTCCCTGGCGTTCATGAGTAGGGTTATATTGCGGAATCTGAAAAAAAAGGGTTATTACGGTGGTGGTGTACTGGTCCCCGGCGTGCGGACGAGAAAGATTTCTCTGATGATGGGGGAGTTCATGAAGGAGAAGGCACAGATCACGTGGAGCACGGTGCTGCTAGAAAACAAGGGGGACTTTGTCTGTGGCGGAATCTACTAGTGAAGGCAAGAACAGAGCCAGCGTGCTTAGCTGCTTGGTGGGGCCTGAGGGAGCTAGTTTATAACAGTCAAGTTAGCTTCAGTTCGATGCAAGCACAAGCAAGTCGTTGTAGTATAGTGGTAAGTATTCCCGCCTGTCACGCGGGTGACCCGGGTTCGATCCCCGGCAACGGCGTTTTTTGTTTTTTAGTACCCAACATGTTTGGCTTGGGTCTTAAAGGTAGCCAACAAAGTATGTTTACTACTCACTCCATTTTATAATATATAGATTTTTTGATAGTTAAACTTAACAATCTTTGATCAACAGAAACCTATTTATATTTACAATATCAAATATAGACAACATAAAAGTATGACTTGTGATTTTTTTTTCGAACCGGCCTATAACTCCTTTACATCGCAAATGAACGTAAATACAATACTTCTAGAAACAATTAGGGGTAGGGAAAGAGGTAATGCGAGCTCAAGCACTGCCAGGAAACCCACTTCATTCGCCTGCCGTCGAAACGAATGCCATGAGGCAAAAACCTGGACAGCATCAAATTCAACAATCATCTTCTTTTTTTGCGGGGGCAGATTCAACAATCTCAATACTACTACAGCCTATTACACCAAAAAGCCAGCAGGGGGCAGGATACCACCGCAAGTCTAACTGCAAGCACAGCAAAAGCTAATTAGGGGACCAGAACCCAGCTGAACAAAGCGCCAAATTAGACAGCCCACCTATTCTCATTCTATCAGACGCCTCACAGCATTGCACATCTTCATCAGATGCATAGTGTGACTTGTGATGTACCCTAGGATATGTATTTCGTATTCTAGAGACAACATGAAAGTATGTCTTGTGATGTACCCTAGGATATGTATTTCATATTCTAGATCTATATGTTTTTCTCTACAAACTTGGTCAAAGTTTGTAAATTTTAACTTTTTAAGAAATCTATATGCGATACATTATGTAATGGAGGGAGTGCTAAATTCTTTTGGATTCCTCGTTGTTTCCAGATAGACTATCGGCTGCACGTCACCCCCACACCAAGTAATGGTCAACCTTCTTTCGAGGCACATCACGTCGCCGTTTGCTAGAAGTGAAGTGACGCCAAGCAAATTATATCACAGGATTCACAGCACAGTTTCGCTCTGAGGTCCAAGTATCAACACTAGTATATCATGGTGCGACAATGGCGGCACCAAACACATCATCCTCGTTTGTCCCAGGATAAACATCACCAATGGGACCGACCCAAATCACTCTTTTCTAAATTTCTAACAACTTTGACGCGAATTTCACACCAAACGGGGGATCTTCGCCTCACTGCCGCTTTTTAGCTTTCGACCGAGACGCATCCTTCCTCATCGTCCAAAATGCCGCGCGGTATCGATTCTGCGACTCAAAACCAGATGCTGAGATAAGACCGGTTGTCGTACATAGATTGAATTCAATGTTATACGTCACATAATTCAGTCAACTGTTAGTAGTTTACCTGCATCATCGATACCATATTTGCTGTGTAAGTGGTATCTATCATTTTCTCCACCTGCAAAATTGCATGTTAATAAAATCTGTGGAAACAGCGATAGTCAATTTATAGTGCATAAACCCTCACCTCCATCACAAATCCATAATGGTAAGCTACCCTTTTCACGTCTTCCAAACTTAGTTCGATAGACATATCCTGAGTTCAAGGAGACAAATTATGTCAACTGATAATGCCACCTTCAATTAGTATAAATAATGGGGGTCAAGAAAAGAGTAATTACATCATCTGGTCCATAGGCATCAGCAAAGTGATAAAGAAGCGGACCCATGTTTACCCAGACCTGTTGATTCAAATTGCCGCAGTTACTTATTGATTATAGTAAATACAGAAAGAGCAGGTATAATAGCATTGGAGAGTGGAGAAACAACTTATACTAAATAATGACTTCCTACCAATCAGCTCACAAAATAACATGTGCACTACTGGTTCTCATGAAGAACATATATCCTAATTAAAATCTTAGAGCAAGTGAACTCACTCCACCATCTTTGAGAATTTTTGATATTATCTCAATATATTCAACAATATTGTGTGCCGTATCGAGGAAGAAGCAAGTTACAACAGCATCCCATGCAGCTGGAAGAGCAGATAAGAATTGTAAGAGTGTCAAAACAGCATTTATCCATTACGCAAGTACGGACTATACAAAATGAGAAAAGTAATAATGCAAGCAGTAAACAGAGAAATGCAAGAACATTGAACTCCAAGAGGACTTCAACTTGTTGTCATCCATGAGAAAAGTAATAATGCATCAGTAGCCTACATGGTTACAGAAGGGGTGTGCTTTAGTCCTCTCCAAGTTAATACCGACAAACGCAAAGCAGATTAAATTACAGGCTTGTTTTGCAACCACTCAGGCACCCACTACATTAGTACAAAACTGTTGAGATTTTTCTTTTGAAAGTTAACAAAGGCATTACTCCTAACGCAATTTATGTATTATATGCAGCCCTGAAACAAAACCAAACAAAGTAGCAGAACAAAAAATACTGAATATGTTTCCCGCGAAAGCATGCTTTGTACTTCATATGTACATGATGCAACAACACCGCAGATTATGATCTGGCTGTTTAACCCAACAGAATAAATCATGCTTTTCCTTGTGATTTCAAATTCCGACAATCTGACAAACAAAATCAGCTCAAACTTTCTCTCCTTTTAGGATACAAACAAGATGCAGCTTGCAATTATTAACACGTTTATATGCTTAGACAAGATGGAGTGATGGACTGACCCCATTACAGGAGTATCCATGTGTCAATAATTATTTAACCACACTGCGTCTAACAATCCAACCACCTTATTTCAGTTTCCTGCAGTTACATGCCTCTTTAATGGAGGATTGTAGCAAGCAAAAGCACAGTTAAGCTGATTCTGAAACAACATATAACTCTTTAGTTGAGAAAGTCGTGTAAGGGTCAATTTTTTCATCATTAATGCACCTAAAACTAGAAGCTTTCCTGGTCCGTGAGAAGAACGTTCAGTATTCCTTTAACATAATAACCAATAGTTCATGTGGCAAATATGTGCACCACAAGCCAAAGGGCCCCAGAACACTCTTCAAATCATAAATCATTTTGACCCCTGTCCAACTAAAAGGTGTCATGTCCAACAGTTAGGTGTAGCAGAGATGTGCATGCTGACATGAATATGTGGCCACACAAGAAAGGATCGGGTCCGGATTGATGATATACGTGATAGAGTTGGGGTAGCACCAATTGAAGAGAAGCTTATCCAACATCGTGTGAGATGGGTTTCAGCTCTAGCCTACCCCCACTTGTTTGGGATTGAAAGGCTTTGTTGTTGTTCTTGTTTGTTTGACCCCTGCTTAGTTTACTAAAAGCCCCAATCGTAAGAGAGCAAGTGATCTTACATTCTTGGCTTTCCTCATTGTAGACCTCTACAAAATCTCCAGCACACATCGAAAATCCTTCGGTTATCCCAGCACTGTTAATAGAAAAGAGGACCCAAATACAAGTGAGCTAAATATACCAACGTGAAACATACAAACATATGACAATCAGTGTATCCGCGAGAAATCAAAGTCCACACTCAATAGAAATAAAATTTCAGCTTTTGCCTACAGTATAAATAATGCCAGCAGACTGAAACAAGCTCTATCAGTAAACTCAAACTCAAATGAAACAAAATTTAGATTAGGAAGTCAAATGTAACTATGCAACGACACAATTTTTAATGCCAAAAAAAAAATTAACATCCAAAAGTCAAAATTGTGTGGATAAAAAAGTTGGGCCCTCAAAACTATTTCCATGGACCCAGGTGACGATTTTCAAGGTCCAGGACCTATATGACACCCCAGAAATAGTTTGAGGACCCATAATGCACTTTGATCTTCTCAAATATTCCATAAGCTGATTTGTATTTCATACAGAATCCTACAACACAATTTACCTACAAATGTAGTCAGCATAACTGTACTTGGGCCCATGGAAATACTATAATCTAAATGCACTCAATAATACATATATCCCAAATGTACAGCTTTGCACCAAATGTACAAAGAATGATGCATGGGAAAACATTATTTTTGTAGAGGTGCTGACACTGAAAATAAAGAAGTTAAACATGGTGTACTCAATACCTTGAGGGATGAATATCAGGAAATGAAACAGCCCGAAGTTGATCTTTGTCTGAAAGAGAATTGCAATTGTTGTGTATCCAAGGATAAATGGTCCATTCATTGGCCTCTTGGGTGCTGATAGAAATATGTGGTATTATTAGCATTATGAACACAGTTTGATAAAGATGCTGATTGCTTATAATATCTGTAGCACAGAGTTAATAGATTGGCATACTGGTTTAGAATGAAACTTGAACAGATCATCATGTAATATGAGAACTCATTTCCCTGGCTTACAAAACCTGTTCAAGGGAATACAATACAGAATTCAAGAAATATATTGTATTGGCTAATCTTCAACTGAACATCACCATACAGTACCCAGAGAAGAGATCTCCAGAGCCAATCTCCCAAGCCCAGCACCAGGGACTAAACATGAAGGTGGCCTGTGATTTTCAGAACATACACAGATCAGTGCTGGAAACTAGAAGTAAATCTGGAAGGAAAAAAACTTCTGTTTGTTTGTGATGTCAATGGAAATGCTTGGATCCACCATCAATAGCGTCTAAAAGAACAGTAATTTGCTCCGCAGTCTTAGGTTTTGGTGGCATTTATCACGTGCTTCTGACCCAAGATAATAGACTAATATAGCAAAAGCCTGAAGAAAATGTGCTAATAAATAGTAGTACCAGTGCGCCTGTAATCAAAGATACAAGAGTACAAAGACAAAACACGAATCTGCAAGAACATTGTCAATTTGTTCCTTCTGCATGATTCATTGAACAAATAGAAAAACAGGAAGGCTCAGCCTCACAGGTTCTGGGAGCGCTGAGCAGCTTCAAAACACGTTTCCATCATTACTGAGAAAACAATACTATCTGAAACGATTTGCCAGTTTTCACTATAATAATCCCCAGCCCCACCCGCCATGCAAGCAGACTAGTGAACACAAACACAAAGGAGATGACACTGTTAGATATTCCTATCAACCAACTATCCGTCTATCCCACAACGACAAAAAACTATTGCCAGTATCCACTCTTAAATCAAGATCAATTCTTAATCTTAGCAAATGATTTGAAAATGTACAGTAGCTCTTCATTACTGAAACAATAAGAGACAATGCATGTTTACCTGCTTCGGTCAGGAAAAAGACGATTAAGTTCCTCAAGAATTGGTTTATAGCACTCATCACGTTCAATTTGACCCTGGGACAAAAACAATTAAAGGTAAAAAGATCAACATTAGAACAGTGCAGAAAAATAGAAGGTCTACATCAAGCACATTCTAAAACAATCTACAGTTGAACAGAAAATTACCTCCTGGGCCCAATCTCTCACAATATTTCTTATGATACATCTTACCTACATAAATAGTTAAAAAAGTGAATGCTAGATGAATCAAAGCAGATAGAATTCTGAGAAGAACAATTACTTTGTCAACGCCAAGAAAAGGAGAATGTATCAAATGCAGGCAAAAGGAGAATGTATCAAATGATAACAACAATTACTTTGTCAACATCAACTGGAGGAACATCCAGTGGCAAAGATGGAGCCCTGCGGTGCCCTGGAGTTATCTGAAATGAAGAAAACAGATTTGTTATAATCAACAGTTATTTAAACACATTATTATCTTCAAATAGAAGGCACAAATGATTATATTATAGAACAGGACTCAGTTCTTGATAAACTGAAAGGTGTTCGTGAGATGCTTTGTGATATCCTGTCCTAAACTTTATGAATAGTTCGCTGTTAGCTGAAGCATCGACTGGTTCTGCAAATTAGAAAAGCTGAACCATTTCCAATTTTAACTTTATCTGATGGGAGTTTCCTATGTCCAATCCTTAAATTTTGGTGGGGAGGCTATGGCATGGCACGGACGGCTCAATCACTCTGGCTAAGCTGCAGGTTACCTGACCTGGCACTCCAAATCACCTTCTGTACATTTCTTTTGCTTGTGGTACTGAACCATCTCTATGGTGCCAGTTTCTATGCAGGCTGGGTTGAACTCCTTGATCACCCTTTGTGCTTGGATGATTTGGAAGCGTCGAAATGATTGTGCCCTCAATGGGAGTTCACCTAATGTCCAGAAGGTGCTGCTGGCTATTAAAGAGGAGGAGCAGCATTGGTGCATGGCTGGGGCAAAAGGCTTGGCCAGGCTGACCATGGGAGAGTCGTAGTTTGGCCATGGTTGAGTGTTGGTCGTGCTTTTTCTTGCTTGTGGCGCTCTGTTTATAGCTGTTTTAGTGGAGTATGTGGTTGTGTTTGTACTCTAGGTACATTTGTTATTAGTGCAATGCTGTGCAGCTTTCCTGCGTATTCGAGAAAAAGGAACTGCATGTTGCCAGGTTCCAGTTTGGCTTAAATTGGTTCAAAATTCACCCAGTGAATCTTTGAACTTTTGAATAAATCCCTTGAAGGCACAAATAAACGCCATATGACCCACTTTTATGTAGAAATCCAAAAACACAGGTGAATGTCCTATTTGTATTTTCTAACACTATGGAGCTCTTTAAAAAATGTCAAACTTTTCCAAGAAAGTGACTATGCAACAAAACCCACAAGGATTGGTACCTGGAAGAAAGAGTACCAGTACATTACCTGGTTTACTCTTTGCCAGGCATATTTTTGCAATACAGCCTCCTGAAATAACTTGGGGATAAATCTATTCATCACATGCCCTATTTACAGAAGAGTCTTTATAAAGTACATTTGAATCTAGTCCTAAATTCAGCACATATCACAATCACAAGTTCAGAATTATCAGGGTTATTAAGTAATGGTAGTGGTAATATATTGACTGATGTCGCCAGAGATATATTACAAGTTCTCAAAGAGAACATAACAAGCATGCCATGTTTGTGCACTAGTCATTTAGACATTTCAAAATCTTGTCTGATAAGAATTTTGAATTATGCATATGTGAATTATTTGGAATAAAAACGGATCTTGCAACATGAGCTTACATTTTCATCAGTAGAAGATGCAAAGCAATCTGTATCTTGACAGTTAGCAGCTGCACTCGCATCTTTACCATCATTACATGATTTATCTTCACCTTGGGATATCCCCAAATTGCAGGCAGCAGGCTGGGAGGAACCCACCATGTGGACTTCCTCATCCTGTTTAATATAAATCAGTCAAACTATACATGCAACATAAAGGGGAATTCAGCAACATATCACCAATGCTGTAATCAAAAAAATATGATAACAGAGTAACAGACTTCTAAGTGAAAACACTCATTATCATGTTTAATGTTTTAAGAAATAAACTGATTCAGACTGAGAAATTACCTTCTTGTTCTCAGTTTCTCTAGTATTTGCACCTTCCTCTGGGCAACAATGCTGAGCAAGCAATTCGGAATTATTTATGGTATCAGCATGACTATGCCCGTGCATGTGCTCTGCACAATCATGACAATCACCATCTACACACTGACTCATGTCGAAAGGAGGTTCAAATGCCTGCAGTTCTTTCTTTTTTAAGAATACCATCACGTGCATTGCAGTTTTCATCAAACAGTCTCAAAAAGACCATACCTCAAGCATATTCATGATAAAAGATGTATTCATGGATATACACCTGCAAGTAATTATGCATCAAATAACAGTAGTCAAAATGTTGAATCAATCAGTACTGAACAGTACGCTATATGCACAAAGGCTTCTGTACAGATAGTGCTACACATGGATGGAGCAGGGGGGCATAGTTACCCCCATGGTAAAAAAAATGTTTACCCCCGATTTCTAATGTATTGCCCTGGCAATACCTCACATGTGAGGTTCTTTGTTTAACTCCTCCCCCAACCAACCACCTAGTATAAATTTTCTAGCTCCGTCCCTGTCTTACATGTCATTCATCTGATACTGATTTATAGCACATATTTTAAACATATCTATAATGCACAAGTGCCAAAACAAAGGACAGATATTGAACAAGCATGGCCAAACTTAATTTGAAAAGGGTATAGGTAGTTTTTTCTTCATAATAAGCCGATGGCTTGAACATAGAGCATCATCATTAAATCTCAGATAAATATGGATAAAATGAATCAATTACCCAGAGTCATATCAAAGATCTGAAAAAGTGAGGTTTGGTAATTCCATATAGACTAAATGAATAAATTACAGTTAACAAACCACTATTTCAGATGATGTACAGCTTGACAGATAGGTGGTTCAGCATTAAGCACAAAATATTACTTACCATCTCAATCGTTGGTACTTAAGACCAAGGTGAAACAGAAGTTCCTGAACAGAGAAAGACATCAGAGAGCATATAGCATTATATAACCTGGATAAATAAAAAAGGTGAATGTGGGGTGACCCTATGAAAACTAAACCTTGTGGGCAGGAGAAAGCTTTTTGAATGAACGTTCATATCTCTTGACATCTTTCTCTGCTGCATCTTGATAGCTGTTACAAAAGCAAAACAACAGTATTTTGATATTCGAAGAGAACAGGAAAGAAAGGGGGTATGCCGTTTCCATGTCTTTATCTTCTATAGATATCATTTTGTGCTATCACTAATCAATAAAAAGCAGCAAACATCATAATTGTGTGACATCAATGATGAAACGTCAAAGAAATCAAGACCTGGAAAAATATACATGTCCTCAATATGGTGTTTTAAGTACATCCAACAGACCAACTAAATCCTAGCATTCATATCAGTTAGTTCGCCATGTGCGCACTCTGATTAATATAGCCACATTTCTTGACCATCTTACACACCCTCCAACAACTTCAATCCGCAACAATCAAATGCAAGGGTGCCAGGAAACTCCGCATTGCGTGGTTATCTTTTTTGTTTCCCTCTAACATGATTAAAAAAACAGGCACACTCATCCATAACGTTTTTTTTTTTTTGAGGATCACCCATCCATAACGTTCGGACTGACGTGGTTGCTAGCAAATCCAATCCACTGTCGCTTCTCAACCATTTTACACACCCTCAATGGCTTCAATCAGCAACAATCAAATGCAAGGATGCCAGGAAACTCCGCATTATTGGTGTTTATCTATTGATTTTTTCCATCTATAACATG